CCCCCCACACACGTTCGTTCCCCCCCAACCGCACCCAACCCCTATGTACTGACAAAAAACAGGACGACGAAAAAGGGATTTTATTTCCCGCCTCCCGCCCCCTCCCGCCCGTTCGTGGTTCACGTCTTTCCCCCTCCCGCCCGTTCGTGGTTCGCGTCTTTCCCCCTCCAGCCACGTTTGCTTCCTTGTTTCCTTTCACACGTCCCTCCCCTCCCCCCTCCCCCCTCCCCCCACCCTCCGGCCCCCCGTTATGGCAGGTCATTGAAAGCGGGTCAGTCAAACAGGTGCAGGACACGTACGCGCAGTTCGTAGAGCAGCTCAGACCCTTCCTGGAGGTGAGGGTGATGGCGCTGGGGCTCGGGGGGGAAGCGGGTGTGTGCGGGGGGAAGGAAACGCTGTTCCATATATGGACGTGTTGGGCAGATAGGTCATACAGCCCCATCGTTTCCGTGTGGGTCCTCGAGTACCTGCTACCACCGCTCGTTGGCATTTCCTGACACAAGCCTCAAGTGCGGGAACTTTTGATACTGTGCGCCTTGCGTTTCTGTATATGTTTCTGTATATGTTTCTGTAAGTGTGTGTTTTAGGAGGAAACATATAAAATACTAAAAACTCATATTATTATTATTATTGTTATTATTATTATTATTATTATTATTATTATTATTATTATTATTATTATTATTATTATTATTATTAGCACCATCCACCGCTCGCGGCTGCATTGCCGTACATGTACATTTCCCATAATACACAGCCGTATACACTCCTACACACTCGCTCTCTCTCTCTCCCTCTGTTTTACCTGTCTGTACACCTGTCTTACCTGTTACACCTGTACACACAGGAGCGGCTGCTGTCCCGGAACACGCTCAACATGACTATGGTGCACCAGCAAGACAACTTGCCGCCGCCGCAGCTCTCCCAGACCCCCCGTCTCAACCGCGGCGGCGGCGGTATGGGCTCCCTAGCGGCCAGGTCCACGCAGATGACGCGCTCGGTGCAGCTGCAGCGAACCGCCTCCCACCTGACCTCTCGCACGCCGGGGCGGCACGTGACTGGCTCCGCGGTGAGCTGGTGGTCACTGAGCTGAACCGACATCTGTTCTCTTTTCGCATACCATAGAATATGTGCGTATTGTTCTTCAGGACTTCCCATCCACCGCGACTGCTGCTGCCGCTGTTATCCCTTTGCTCCTCTCGGCACTTTGCCTTCGTGCTGCGATTCGCTGCTCATGCACCTGCTCCTGTACCTGCTCCTGCACCGTAGGCATTTGAGAGCGCCGATTTCGGTGAGGGGGGTGTCGGCGGGGGTACTGCAGCTCAGCAGCTACGTCAGAGCTTTCACCTCGGCGGCGGCGACAGCCGTGGCGGCGGCAACATCAATGGCGAACACAGCGTCGCGCGGCTGTTGCGCAGCTTGGGCAGGCGCCTCGCGGAGGGCGCGCGCGGCGTATTCGAATCCGGCGTCGATGTCGTACTCAACCTGTCGCAATGCCGTACAACGCCGCAGATGCGCTTCCTGATCGCCCTCGTCTTGGCCATGTTTTTGGCAAATGCGGTGTGCATGCTGGGATACCTTTGGCACGGTTGGTCATCTTCCTCCGCTGCTTCCGTCGCTGGCGGCGGCGGCAGCGGTGGTGGCGGCGGCGCCGTAGCGCTGGACGGCATCTTCTTCGGGCCGCTGCTACCCGACGGGGGCGCCGCTGCCGTCATGTCCGACCTGTCGGCAGCACTGGGCGCCGCCGCCGGCACGGGTGGCAGCGGCGGCGGTGCTGGCGGCGGCGGCGGCGGCGGGGTGTCGTATTGGGTTCAGCGGATGGCGCTGTTGCAGCAGGAGATTCAGTTGCTCCAGGGGCGGATGGAGATCCTGTCCAGGGAGGTCAGTGTGGTGATGGTGCAACTGACGAAGGCGGCTGGGTCAGCGGCGGCGGCGGCGGCGACGGGGGGCGCCGACCCTGCGGCGGCGGCGGCGGCAACGGTAGCTGGCGGCGCTTTTTCCGCGGCTGCAGGGGAGTCCTGAGGAGGGGGGGACATCGACATACTGATGGACAAACTCCACACAGGTGAACGGACATAAAGGGAAATAGGCCCATGTGCAGACGGACATACAGACGGACGGATAGACGTAGTGGACACCTGTTCTGTCACAGTGGACACTATTCGTCTAGGGGGTCCCAGCATCAGGGCAGGTGCAGATGTACGGATGTACGGATGTACAGATGCAGGTGCAATCTTGGCTGCGTCATGCGACAGATATGCAAGTGGTGGGATATGGCGGGAAGGGGGGTGGCCCATCTTGACGTGGCGGCAGCGGGGGGGGGGGGAGTGTAGGAGGGAGGAGACTACCAGCTGTATCCGCTCTTGCGTGGTGTGGAGGACGCCCTACATGCGACGGGTTTTGGGGTGCGGCGCGGTGCGAGGGGGGAGAGGAAGGCAGCGGTTGCTGTGTTGCTTAGGGTGCTATGTGTTCCGTTCCCCCGCTTTTTGGACCAGGTGACGAGCTGACCCAATGTGGTTACCAATGCGGTTTTCGGAGCGGCATCGGCTCCTGCATGCGCATGAATTGAACCGAGTCCGTCGCGGGAGGATTGGGTTCGCTGGGCAGGCGAAGCAACCCGCAGGCTGTGGTGTACGGTGGGGTATATGTATATGTATATATAGACACACCTTCGGAGGTATCGTCCGCCGCGTTCCACGTCTTATCGGCCCTCATGTATCGGCTCTGGAGCACGTTCTTGGGTATGTACGAGTATGTACTCCACGTGCCGTGCCGTACAGCAATGTTCCGGGGGGGACTTGAACTGCCCGACTGACCCCTCAGTCGATTTTGGTGCCGCGCGCGATTTCAACATTGGCTTCCATCACGTCGCATCGATGTCCCTCTTGCCGTATGTGTTGCCTGGCTTTTCTTTGTTTTTATCTGTGTCTGTCTGTCTGTGTGTTTGTCTGTGTGTTTGGTGGGGGTGTCCGTTGGTACTCAACTGGAAGAGCTGGACAGGGCGGTTCCCCTGTCTTCGTGCTTTATTGCCCGTCAGGAAATGAATTGAGGGGGGGAGGAATACGGCCCTGCATGGGCTCGGTGGTATGTCTTTTTGAGTGTGTTGAGTGCGTCTGCTTCTTCCCTGTGTGTGCATGATGGTGTGTTGCGGGTGATAGGACGGGGGATAGGAAGGGTTGGACCTTCATACATGTACCTCGGGGACTTCCAGGGGGATGGGAAGGGGGGGTAGCCGGTAGGCAGAGAGGGAGAGAGTTGTGTAGCAGTAGTGGTGATGGCAGTAGGGGTGTACCATGGGGTATGGGGGGGGGAAATGGAGGCCGAGATGCATTCGCCCCGGCACTATGACACACACATACACAAATACACACACAAATACACACAGGTGGCAAACGGGGGGTGTTTTTCAGATCCGGATCTCCCCAGGGCGTCATGGGTTCCAGACCTCTACCCCCCGGGGCCCTCCCTTCTGTACGGCACTGCGAGATTGGGTTTATCACGGTAGACAGGGACCTCATACAAAAGGGGGCGGCGGTGGGGAAAGGGGGAGGTGAAGGGGAAGGGGAACGGGGGAGATGAGAGGAAAGCACGCCATCCGCGACGGCGACGTGCCGGGTCCCTTTGCAGCCCGCTTTGTGCAGAGGAGCGCGCTACTCTGTCCTGGAGACTGGGGGGAAGCAGCAGTGGCGGCTTTGCGCGTTTCGCAGCACAGCGGATTTGGGGAGTGGTGGTGGTGGTGGTGGTGGTGGTGGCGACGCAGCCGCACATGCGTAGGGCGTTACGGAGTGCAAAATGCTCTCTCCTGGAGAAGTTCTCTCTCCGCGAATGTCTTAAAAATACGTTGTGCATTTTTTCCGAGCTAAGCTTGGAAGCAGCGGCAGTAGAAGTAGCGGCTAAGGCGGGAGGGACAGGGAGGTCCAGTGTCTGTAGTAGGCTTGCGGGTACCTGGGGTGGATGTGTACGGCGGCTGTGTGGCTGGCGTGAGTAGCGGTTGCTCTGGGAGTGGGGGGTGGACGTACGGCGACGCGGGGGGAGTGGGCAGTGGAGGAGGGGATGTTCCCACCACCCGCAGCCTCCCAGGTTAACGTAACACACACACACAACCACCCAGGCTAGCCGATCTGCATCCCAGCTTGGTCATTACTATTATTACTATTACTATTATTATGACGGCTGTCTAGGTCATCAGCAGACATGGGTGGGGGATGTAAAAGGGCAGAGGCTGCCAGGCCGAGCCAGGGCCGCGGGGGGTGGGGTAACTGGAACACGATCGCGCACGCAGGGCACTGAGCGCATTTTGAACGTCGTCGTTGTTGTTGTTGTTGTCGTCGTCGTCGCCAATTGATGAAGGTATACCAGAGCAGTTTTTTTGTGCCTTTCCATGTCGTCGTACATGTATGCCGTACTGGATGGCGCCGAGCGGCACGACGCGTCCATGTGGGGATGGCTTAGCTTTCCGTACACGCGCTTGCCCGTACATCCGCCTTCGCATTTCGCGCATGGTGCATATTTCTTGTATATGCCTGTCTGTCTGTTTGTCTGTCCGCATGTCCGATCTACAGTTCCTACCTTGCTGTCTTGCCCCGCTTTTTGGAGTTCTAGTGGTGGCGGGCCGTGTGTGAATAACTTTCCAAGTGCAGGAAAAAGGGGCTTACACATGGGAAGAACAGTGTTGGAACTTGTCTTTGAGTTTCCTCCCGCGGTTGCATCGACTTTTTGCATCGTGCATACGATGATTTGTCTCAACGCAACGCAACTGAGACGGCCGCTATTGGCTATTGATGGCCGCTGATGGCGCTGGGACGAATTAGGGGTTCATAAGGGGGATTCCAGGTGGGGAGGATATGCGTCATAGCACCGGCGTGTCATATTATTAACTACTATGCATTTACCGTATCGTTAGCCGTGAAAGATGCAGTGCCGAACAGTCTCGGCCGCAGGTTTACTTGGCGCATCATGTACGGATGGAATACATAGATTGGGTTTAATACTACTAGCTAGAGTTTGTTTGGCGGTGACGGAAAGAGCGCGGCAGCTTTTGTTTTAATTGGACAGCATATACATACCGGGGGTAGCCTTTGGTGAGGCTGTTTTTGGGAACGTGCTGGTTGTTCCGGGCGGGAATGTCGCAGCGTCCTTCCGCTTGATGCGTGCATGTATGTATGTATTTCTAAGCAATCGAGTCGGCTCCTCTCGTTCATTCGTTTTACGCCAGATCAACGGTGGTAAGTTGCACGTGCCTTACGACTTGGATCATAAACAGGAAGGCGCGGAGACGCTGTGCTGTGCTGTGTACGGGAGTTTCACAGGTTAAAATTCTGTGACCGTACTACCATGTTGCAAATGCGTTCAAATAAAGGAATATATGTAAGGAACTACTTGCCGTCCATTTAGTAGCTTTCCTATCGACTGACCACAGTATCCAGTGATGCCGGGACACACTGTCAAGTCTCAAGGCAACGGGCAAGGGGGGGGTCATCTACTTTGCGATACAAGCCACGGAACTGGAAAGCAATCTAGTCTCCACGTCTAGAGCACGCACAGCGTTGCCACTTCTGCCATCTACTGCGATGCTGTACTTCGTACCTTTAATCCTTTCCGTTTCACGGCAATTAAAAAAACAGGTGCGGTGCCAAGGAGCTCGCAATGCGCTGCCTAATGAACATATAATTAAAGGCAAAGACGCAAAAGAGGAAGGTTAACGATGCTTGGGGACAGCAAAGGCTTCAACTTAACCTATTGACCCACTGTACGGCTGCTTTACGCGAGTTTGCCTCGCTAGACCCAAAGAGTCTATCCTCAAACACTGGTTAATTTACTAGCCATTATTTGAAGTATGGAGTGTACAGTTGTTTGCATAGACAATAGTGAGTTCTCGCGAGATGGGGACTACGCGCCAACGCGCTTCCAAGCGCAGGCCGATGCAGTCAACCTGTTAGCAGGAGCTAAGACACAGGCACATCCGGAGGCCACTGTAGGCGTGCTAACAATGTCGGGCAAGACGCCTCGGGTCTTGGTCACCCCAACACCAGATCTTGGGAAAGTGCTGAACTGCATGACAAACATCGACATTGATGGTGAATGCAATGTTTCCTCATCCGTGCAAATTGCACAACTTGCCCTCAAGCACCGGCAGAACAAAAACCAGCGGCAGAGGATCGTCATCTTCGTGTGCAGTCCAGTCACGGAGGACAAGGTGCGTTACTGCGACGCTGCTGGACGGCAAGAAGCTACTCACCATGGGTTACGGAATGTGGACCCCGCTCCTCCTGTTGCCCGCACATTGGGGTGGGGTATGCACGTTACCCCACCCCACGCGCGCCTTTCCTGCGACGCGTACATACGTACGGGACCGCTGGGGATGTGCAAGGCATCCGCAAGCCCTGCGTGCCGCACGCTATGCACGATAGCACATGGTGCCTTCTTCCAGTCCTGCCAGCTTATCCTTTTCCGTGTCTGTGGCAAGAGTGAAGCGGATTGGGGGCCATGGGACATGAGGGTCACAACGTCCCAATCTCGAAGTTCAGGTTGACCCAACAACCCTCGGCACGATTACGAACCTCGTATTTGTTTGGGATGGGCTGGGGCTGGCGCATTGCACGCGAATGGACACCAACAGGACGACTTGCCTTTGCCCGCGTATGCACGTATGTATGTGTATGTGTATGCAACCTACTTTGATTGCTGTGGCGGTGCACCTCGTGCAGGAGAAGCTTGTAAAGATTGCCAAGAAGCTGAAGAAGAACAACGTGGCTGTGGACGTGGTTAGCTTCGGCGCGGAGGAGGAGAACCAGGTTAGGTTAGGGTCCTAATGGCGGGGCTGCGGCCAGAATGAATGCTATCATTCGAAAATCTGCTGTCTGTTCGTTGAAGGCTCCGAAACCATCACACGCAACGCGCTGCCTTGTGGCGAGCTCTGCACACACCTTCCGCGACAGACAACATGAAGCCTCTACATGCGGCCTCTTCTTCTTCTTCTTCTTCTTCTTCTTCTAGGATTATGTACTTGTGTTTGCATGCCTGTGTGCGCGCATAACCTGGCAGCCCACATGACATGGGCCCTCCACAAGCCGCGGCCAACCCGGGGGGCCCTCACCAGCCTGTGTGCACCTGCACCTTGGTCCTTCCATGGGCACCTTCCCGCGAATGGATGGTGGTCCTGCGCCTCTTACGATCCACCGCCTCGCACTCACCTGCAGGAGAAGCTGGAGGCCTTCATGGCGGCCGTCAACTCGAACGGCAACTCCCATTTGGTGACGGTGCCTCCCGGGCCGGTGCTATCAGACGTGCTCATCTCATCGCCTATCTTCCAGGGTGAGGGCGGCGGCGGCTATGGCTTCGCCGGTGGTGTAGGCGGCGGCGCGGGTGGCGGCGGCGCGGGTGGCGGAGCTGACGGATTTGAATTTGGAGTGGATCCCAATATGGATCCGGAGCTGGCTCTGGCCCTGCGGTGGGTGCCTGGGTGGGCTCTCACCTGGGGGGGGCGGTCTTGGCTGGGGGACTCACCGTGGGTAGGACCGTCGTGGGGCTGGACTATCTGGCCATCTGCCATAGGGCCCAGTGACGCTCTAGTTGAAGCTGAAGGGATCGGGGCTTTGCTGGGAGGAGGAGAGCTGCACTTCCACAGCGTTTGACGACTGTGGGTTCACATTGTGACCGGTGGGGCTCTCGTAGGTCGTATCAGTCGTATTGCGTGTGTGCCGATGAGAGGCCAACACACAAGGCGTTTCTGTGGGGGTTCTTTTGTGGGTTTTGCGCAGTCCTGAGGCAACACCTGATGATTGGTTGAGTGACCCATTTCGTGATGTACTACCAGTGTCTTGACTGAATGCGGCTGCCTTGCTCGCTTGGATAGCTTCTAACCGTTGGTTGCCTAACCGCTGGATTATTTTACATCGGCAGTGTATCGCTGGAGGAGGAGCGAGACAGGCAGAACCGCGCAGCTGCAGCCGCGGCTGCCGCAGCGGGAGCCAGCCAAGCGGCGCCGGCGGAGGGCGCCGCTGCAGCGGGAACCTCGGGTCCAGCTGTTGAGGCTGGTCTGGCGGCCGGCTCGGATGCGGCGGTGGGGACGCCGGCGCCCGCTGTGGCGCCTGGCGTCGGCGTCACCGCTGCAGGTGGGGATATGGACCTAGACGAAGATGCGCTCCTGCAACAGGCCCTAGCGATGTCGATGGAGGTGGATAGCGCCGCGGCGGCGGCGGCGGCAGGTGCGCCAGCGCCGGTGGGGGCAGCCGACGTGGCGACACCGGCGCCGGCGTTGGCGCCGGTGGTGACACCGGGAGCACCGCAGGCTGCAGCGGCTCCACCGCCGGGGGATGTGGATGTGATGGATGAGGACGCGGAGCTGCAACTAGCCCTACAGCTGTCTATGCAGGATGCAGGCCCCGAAAACAAAGATGGCAAGAATTAGTGCTGCTGTCTTAGGTGGCGCGGGGCGGGGCGGGGCGGGGCCTTATGGCGATATGGATTGAGGGAGGGGTTATATGGGAACTTGGGCAGGCCCCTGGCGCTGAGGATGGGAAAGGGCTTTTCACATGGAGATGTACGGAGGTTTGACATTGTTTGGGGTGACGACGCTACAGAATGGCTTGCATGCTGCCATGTAGGCTTCTAGGGGTTTGGGTAGTGGATAGGGGTCGGCAGTTCAGTCGGTGAAGGCGAATTCGTACTTTGGGTAGCCGGTCGAGGATTATGAAGCCCTATCGAGGGTTGTGGGGGATATGATTGGTGCACTCAACGATGTGCTTGTCGGTTGTGTTTAATTGGCGCAGGCAGGGTCGATGCTAGCTAATGCTGAAGTCTATTGTGGCGAATCATCTTGTTACTATGCACTTTGTGCTAGTGGTGCGCTATCTGTTATTGTTTGCTGAAAGCAACCTATGTGTCTCTGGATCATGCACAACCGCTTTATGTAACCCGATCGTATGAGAAGGCTGGTCCTGCTTGTCATATCGGGCGTCCCGACGTTTGCCGTACTTTGATGATTGTTACGGAAGTGCCTTGAGAAACAAGTGATGATCTAAATACATTAGCAGCTGCAAGCGATATGTTTTAGGCTCTCATCGCATCTCTGCGCATTATCCTGAGCGGCTTCCGCTGCCAAGGCTAGGCTTCAAGAAGCTTTTGACGGCCCTAAAGTTCAAACAAGTATAGGTAAAGTTCAAACAAGTATAGATTGAAGGATAACTTTGTTGTAAGCACCATACCTCGAGGCTGAAAGTATCGGCGCGATAATAGATATACCTCGCCGCGTAGCACATTTGGGCGCGCCAACGACCTGGCAAGGAAGATCATTTCAGGTGAGGTTCATTCTGATGGATGTTTATGCTTAGACTCGTTCGTTTAGTCCCAGGCCCGGAAACTTCGTTAGCGCGCAGCACTTGTATTTGATCATGCGTATCGCGTGATATCTTTGTAAGATTCATGCTTTTCGCAACCAAATTTTCGCGGGAGGACGGGCATTCTGTTGCTTATGCGGCCAGGAGGGCTTTGAAGGATGGCTTGGCGCGCTCTATGGACTGAATGCACTTGCCAGCGTTGCGTTTCTATCATGATCGTCATCAATAAACAGATATTTGCTTACTCCTTTCTGGTGATCCTTCTTGTACTCGCGTGCCTTGTGTAGTCAGGGCGTTGCCGGCACTCAGCTTACGTTCCAGGCCTGTGTCTACCTTGAGACACATCCAGTTCAGCAGCAGCTTGTAGCCCACTCGCACTGGCGCTCAATGCTCGGGAGCCAAGCAAACAGGGGCGCCGTGTCACGCCCCTGCCAGCTCGCGCAGCAGCCTGGCAGCGTGCAGGCATCTTGCTTACGTCGACTTCCTGCTAAAGGCTTTCATTCGCTGCTCCCGCCAACACAACGTTCAGCGTTTCCGGGTTACCCGCACTCCCATGGAAAAGGTTTTTGGAGCCAACAGCAGCGTCGTATCATCACTCGTGGACAGCAGCAGCCATGGGAAGTTAGGATTAATAGCAGTGGCTCGCCGAAATCAGATCCGAGCTCCAATGGAGCAGAATCCGTCGCGCATGGCGGAGATTATCATTTGAATGGGGGCGCAGCAGCCCTTTCCCTTCCATCCACGTCTGGCAGCACCCCCTCGGTCTCAGCCAGCGCTGTCCCTGTGGTGCAGCAGCCACATCGCTGGAAGGTTGTGTACATGATGGCTGTGGCTTTCGTGCTGTGCAACATGGACAAGGTAGGCCGGAGGGCTAGCCATAGCGTTATGGTGACGCCAAGATGATGACTGTGTAATCTCTCCACTTAAAACTCTCCTCACAGCTGTCTTTAAACTCGGGTGATGACATGTTGGCAACGACGGCTGGGGGTTCCCCAGCAACGATTCCTTTCCCAGCTGCTCACCTCCCAGGCGCGGGTTGCCGCTTGTTGCGCTCCTCGCTGGCCATCCTGTCTATCTTCCGACGGATCTGCGTCTGTATGGCTGAAGAAGAACGATGGTCTACTTCACCTTCTCCGTATTATCCGCTTACTCCCCCTTATCCATTGCCCCCTCCCCTCCCCTGCTGACGTCTTCAAATTTTTGAAGTCTTTGATAACTTTCCTGTTGACATATGGTGGATGATGGTGATGTAGATTTCTAGTCCTGTCCTGTTGATCGACCCTGCCGCGCCTCTTTCCCCAGACCCCACTCAACCTTCCCTTAACGCTCCCCTCCTGCCACCCCTCCACCAAACCACGTCACTGCTGTCATTATCAACTTACCTACATGCCTACAGTTGGCAGTCCTACATTTGGGTCTATTTCTATGTAGAGCATCCGCCCTGCTCCATCTCTGGTTCTTTCTTCAATGGTCTGTGGTCCGTCGTACCCCCCCCCCCGTCACCCCCCAACCCCCTTTTTCCCCCTCACCCTCAGGTGAACATGTCAGTGGCGGTGATCCCCATGGCCTCAGAGCTTGGCTGGTCCGCCACGGAACGCGGCCTCGTCTCCTCCTCCTTCTTCTGGGGATACTCTCTCACGCAGCTACCCGCCGGCTACATATCGACAAAGATAGGCGGCGCTAAAGTGCTCGCAGCCGGCGTCGCGCTCTGGTCCTTCGGCACACTGATTGCGCCGCCAGCCGCCAAAATCAGCCTCCTGGCGCTCTGCGCGACGCGTGTGCTAGTGGGCCTGGGCGAGGGCTTCGCGCCAAGTGCGGCGACGGCCGTGTTGGCGAAGCTGGTGCCTTCGACGGAGCGCTCCCGGGCTGTCAGCACTGTTTGGGGCGGCCTGGATGTGGGCTCCGCTGTGGGGCTGCTGTTGTGCGGCCCGCTCATAAGGATGTTCGGCTGGCCGTCGGTGTTTTACTTGTTCGCGGTGCTGGGACTTGTGTGGGCTGCGCTGTGGCCGCTCGTCCAACCCGACAAGATGGACGAGGACGTGAGTACGACAATACACCTCCACAGACACAGACACACGCTCAGGACAGACAGACACACGGACAGACACACGCCCCGTGGGGGCTGGGGAGGGGATTGGAGAAAGGACGGGGTAATGGCGGTTGAACCACAACCGCGGAAGGCAGTGGTGTGCAGTAGTGGATGCACTATGCAATCAGACGGACGAACGCCAAAACAGACTCCCCGGTCCTTTGTTCCAGTGTGAGCGTTTTTGTTTTTAGCATAATGAGTTCCTCTCCCCCAGGGGGGGAAACCCCCTCCCACACCACGGGCCGGGTCGGGTCAGGCTGGGCTGGGTCGGAACATCCCACCCACTGGGGGGTTCTCCCTTCTCGGCCGCAGCCGGAGGTAAATCCGCAACCTTATATCGTTGCACTCTCATCTGGGTCCACACACTCGCTGTCTTCACTGGTTCCTTTGGGGGATCCTTTGCGCTGCTCTCGTGTATTTATCTCCCCCTTTAGATGATTGCGGAGCAGAAGAAGAAGGAGGTGGAGCGAGCCATGCGCGCCGCCCTGGCCCAGGCTGAGGCGGCGGGGGGCGGCAAGCCGGGCTTCCCCCTGGAGTCGGTGGACGAGGTGCCGCTGTCCGCCACCTACAGCAAGCTGGAGAAGGGGCTGCCCCCGGATGGCCGGGTGCCCTGGGGCGACTTTATGAGGTGTGTGTGTGTGTGGGGGGAGAGAACTGCATGGGAGGTCGAAAACCCCCTAGCTGGGCGGCCAGAGGAAGGAGAGGGGGAGCAGGGGGAGGGGGAGCCGGAGGGTCGGCGGTGGAGGTGGTGGAGGTGGTGGTGAGGCGAGGAGTTACAGATTGGCGGCGAAGTAGAGCACATCGTGAGGTTCGATGGAGTGGTACTTTCCCCCTAACCCTACCCCTACCCCTGCTCCCCACGGCCCTGTGTCAGGTCCCCCCCCGTGTGGGCGGTCACCGTAGCGCACTTCTGTTTCAACTGGGGCTACTACACTCTGCTGGCCTGGCTGCCCTCCTACTTTGAGCTGGCCCTGGGGCTGAATGTGGAGAAGTCCTCCTTCCTCACCCTCATACCGTACATCGCCATGACGGCCATGATGCCCTTGGTGGGGCCTGTGGCTGACGGCTGGGTACGATCTGGCATGCCCCTCACCCGAGTACGGAAGATCTGCCAGGGCATTGCCTTTGTGGGCCCTGCGGCCTGCATGCTCGCCTGTGCCGCACTTACCCCCGCCGCTGCCGTCACCGCCAAGGCTGCCGCTACTGGCGGCCCCGTCGCGGGTCCGGTGCTGACGGCGGTGCTGGTGGGGCTTATGTCGGTTGCGTTTGCGCTGGGCGCCTGGTCGCGTGCCGGGTTGTACTGCAACCACCAGGACTTGTCCCCCAAGTACGCGAGTGCGCTGTTGGGCATCACCAACACGGCGGGTGCAGTGCCGGGTGTGCTGGGTGTGAGCGCGGCTGGGTACCTGTTGGACACGACGGCGAGCTGGGCTCTGGCGCTGTTTATCCCGACCGCCATTTGTCAGCTGTTCGGGGCGGCAGTGTACTCCGTGTTGGCGTCCTCAGAGCGGCAAAGCTGGAGCTGAGCATGAGGGTGGTTGGGGAAGATGGGGAGGAGGTGGGGAGGCGGAGCTGACTGGGGGGGAGGTGGGTGGTAGCGGCGGCGGAGCAGCGGACGTGGGTCGAGTTGGGTAGCTGCTGTCTCGTCATGTGTGCGGTGCGTGTGTGTGTGTGTGATGGTCCGTAAGGAGGGCGGGATGTTGGAGCTGCTGGTAATGGTGATGATGATGATGATGATGGTGATGTTGCAGTCCGTTGGATGATGGGTCGCTTTGTCAGTTGGCAGTCGGTTGGGCAGCCTGAGACCTTTTGGCCATAAACAGGGGAGAGTGCTGCTTGCGACTTTGTCACTTGAGGGATGTGCTGTTGTGCGAACAGAGAGAGAGGTCTTGGAGCTCCAGAGCTATGATGTCACTTGTGTGCGCGGTGCGCGTGTTCCCTTTTGTGTGCTCTGTGTTTGTATTCCCCTGCGTGTGTGTATGGGGCGGGGGGGGCCTTCTGTGGCTCAACAGCAAATCTTGAAGTGGAAGTGCGTTGCAGGGTGCGTGTGTGTATGTTGTTGCGCTGTGCTCTGCTGCGTTAATATTTAAATGTGCCACAACAATGGGGTGGGGGCCGCAGGACGTCTTCGACGATTTCCTATTGAGCGGTGAAGGGGAGAAGGGGCTCTGTTTGCGGACTCTGTCGGCCCTTTTCCCCCCCCCCCACGCACCCCTGGTGGTTATCCTTTGCTGCTGCTGCTGCTGAGAGATGTTGCTGAGGGGCCGCCTCTTTCTCTCTCCCTTATTTATATACCTCCTTCCTCTATCACACATATACATACATACACACAGGGACCTGTCTCCGATCCCCCATCCCCCGGGAGGACATCTTTGAAAGCGACTCCTTTGGCTCCATCATTGCGTCCGCCATCTCCTTTTCCGTCTTTTCTTTTCTCTTTTGTAAGCGAGCATGCAGTTGCGTGCGAGTCCCCGTCCCCGTTGTTGCAGTGTGCAGTCTCTGGTAGTCGGAAAGCAGGAGGTGAGGACGGGGAGGAGGGGAGGGAGGGGGGCTGTCTGAGCTCCTCCCCCTTAAAGGGTGATGGGGTATAACCAGCTGGTAGTAGCGGTGGGGCCAGTTGGCCAGTATGTATCGCTGTGTGTGTGTGGATGTGTATATACGTATACGTACAGCAGCAGGGACGGAGTGGGCCCATTTCCCAGTATACCGACTTGTTTTCGGTGTATCCAGCAAAGGGGCCTTCGCTGTCTCCACACGGCCTCTACCCCCTAGTCCGGCTCCCCTTGGCGCCCTCAGCACTGGGGAGCCCCCGGGTGGGGATTGCAGGGGGGCGGGGTGGGGGTTGGCTCTTCATGGCCATGGTGGTGGGGGTGATGGTGATGTGCTTGAGTTCCTGGTGGGATTGTGTGCTGGGGGCCGTGGCGGGTGCCTTTGGTGGAGGTGTTTGGTGGGGCGGGGTCAGGGCAGCTTCGGAACTGCCTGGGGTGGTGTTGCTTGCTTTTGTTTGGGTGGTGGTCTGCTGGTTTGCTTGCACTAATGATGTTTAGTGATGCTTCTGTCGATGCTTTTTGTATGCTAAATTGTGTGTGTGTGCTGTGTGCTGTGCCCAGGGGGTGAAATCTGGATGATGGTGATGATGGTGATGACGTAGCCCTCTTGCGTACACGAGGCGCGATTTTTAGAGGGGAAATGTGCGTGTGTATGTGCGTATGTATGTATGTATGTATGTATGTACGTCAACTACGTATGGGCGGTGTGTGAGGCCGTGCGAGGCTGTGGTCTTCTGCTGGTGGTGCTTCTTGTCGGGCTGGTGGTGGCGGTGGTGGTAATTTTCCCCCTCGTCCCGGCCCCTCCTCCCCCCGCTCGGCGCCTCAGTTTGCTAACAAGTGAGGTGGGGGCCTCACTCGCACGGGCAACAGCACTCGTTACTTTCTTACTAGGGTCGTGTCGGGCAGGGCTGGGTTGGGCTGGCCCCACGACGCTTGAAAGGCGCGAGTGCGGCTATCTCGGCCTCGATAGCGCTGTTAGCTGCTTAACTGTATGTACGTCAGCACAGCAGGCATTGAGTTCCATCTGTGGTACGACACCGGAGAAAGATTCGTTTCCGGAGGCTCAGTACGGCAAAGGGTTTTATTTAAGCATTGCTGCGGCTCACTCTTAAGGCCGGTGGTGTCGAGGATGGGGGAGGGATGGTGTACGACGGTACGGGGGAAGGAGTGACGGGATGTGAAGGAAAGCGGTGATATGGTGGCGGGAATGACATCCAGCTCGCATTGGGTTACTTGAAGCCCGTTCGGAAGCTACCACCGTTACCACAAACACGCACGCACCTGAAATGCAAATCAGTGTAAATTCCGTGTGTCACCACAAAGGCTGCAGCGGCAGCGCTAAGATGGGCACGGCTTCCTTGCTGAAGAACTGCTACCGGTCGGGGGGTTGATACATACGGCTATGTATATGTGTAGGTGGTGGACCGCACACATCAAGAGCTCTACGCGGCGGCATCATACAATGGTGTGGTGATGGTGGACAATTGCTGTGTACTTCGTTCTTGGTGTGTATCGTTGTTGGCAGCTCACATTCGCTGTATTGAAGTGGTGAGAGGTTGGTGATCGGAGGTGAGGTGACACCGCTGATCAGGGGAGGACGATGTGATGGTGGTGGTAGTGGTGGTGCCAGGAGTGCGGAAGGAGAGGAGGAGGAGGGGGAAGACACGAGGGGATGGAAATACACACGGTGACTTTATTGCTTGGGATGGATAGACAGACAGACAAAGGGGTATATGGTGGAGCTGGCTGGTGATAGTGGTGGGGTGAGGTAGAATGTGGTGGTGGGACAGCCCCTGGGGACGTCGTGGTGGTGGGGGGCTTAGGGCGCAGGGTTGACTTTGGGGCGGTGAGAGGGTGTTTCGCCGCGCAGCGGGTGTTGGGTTTCTTGTTGGTCTTGTTACTAAGCCGCCACTAAGCTGCCGCAGCCGCCGCTCTGCTGCTGCTGCCTGTAGCGATATGACGAGCGAGATTCAAGTTTCTTTCCGCTTGGTGAAGAGGATGACGTGGATTTTTTGGGTGCCCGGGCCCGCAGGCGGCCCGGTAGTAGCGCTCCTTCCTTGTTTTTTGCTGTTTCAAGGAAGGAGCGTCTCTTAAAGGCGTTGCGTTGAAAAGTGTGATGATATGTGGTTTTTTGCAAGAAGGTAATGTTGAAAGTGGTTTGAGAAGTGCGGTGATGTATCGCGGTGTGAAGGCGACGGGAAATCTTGTGGATTTACGTGTATCGCACGGACATATATACGAACACAATTGGCGAGGCGATTGCTTGTAATCTTTCGGCCCACAGATTTGTGGCCGCCTCCATCACCCGAGGGAGGGAGGGAGGGAGGGAGGAAGGGAGAGAGGCAGGAAGGGAGGGAGGGAGGGAGAGCTGATGACCGCTTTCTACAGGACAGGCTTGGCGTCCAGCGCCGCGGCCTCCCGGCCTGCGGCCAGCGGCGGGGACGGCGACGGTGGTGGTGCTTCAGGTGACAGGTGGAAAATTGGTGACAGCGGCATTGGCGAGCAGGGGGATGGCGACAGCGGCAATGGGGACGGTGGGGACGGCGACGGTGGCAGTGACGACGGCAGGGTTGGCGACGGCAGCAATGGGGGCGGCGGGGACGGCGACAGCAGCAGTAGTGATGACGGGGAGGGGGACAGTGGCAGTGGGGGCGGTGGTTCGGGCGACAATGGGGACGGCGACGGTGGAACGGCAGGGTAAGCAACCTGGATGGCGACGGCGACAATGGCGGCGGTGGAGATGGCGACATCGGTAATGGCGGCTTTGGGGATGGCGACGACAGCAATGGTGGCGGTGGAGATGGCGACAGCAGTAATGGCGATGGCATCACCATTGCCACCGTCAGCATCCCTGCCATCACCATTGCCACCAGGATCCGCGGGTGGGGGAGGGGGGGTGGGGAGCGTAGGGAGGAGCCCAGCGCCCCGGCGCCCCGGCAGCTGTGGCGCCGCCGATAAATGTTGTGGCCTATGGTTGGTCAATCTAACCAGTATGGTTATGTAATTAACGAATCCCAGCATATCCCAGTTAGATATCGAACGGACGTTCCAATGTTCGAGGCTAAGATCAAAAAGACAGGTTGACAGTGTGACAGTCGTCAGTCATACAGTCGCGTCGATC